TCACCCTATCGATCGGGCCGGTTTCGTCGAGGCGCGTCGCGTGCTGTCACTCGGCGCACGCATTCCGCTGGACGTCTCCTCTATTCATTGTCGCTCCTTCACCTTCTAGTTTCATTTTCGTCATTTTGTCGATTAAACCTGGTCGGTGCTTTCTAAATAGCCCCTGGAAGTGGTCAAGGCTCAAACGTTTGGAGTTCCACGGGAAAAAACGGTGTAGGTCTTGTCGTTTCCATATTATGCTAACTACTAAGTTTCTTGTGAAGTTCTGCTGCACTTGCTCCGTTTTGGATCGGGATGGATTTTCATGGAAGCAAAAGTTGCCAGATTCTCTTTCCGCACCATCATTCGTTTGTGGGGTTGATCTCATCGCTCTACTTCCATGAAAGCTGTCTAACCTTTGGTGTTCCTAAAAGTTGCATATTCCAGGCAAAATCATGCTGGATGAAGACGAGCTTCTCAATGTTCCAGAGGACCAGCAGCAGATCTCTGATGTACGTTTACGATTTTTTTGGTCACATTTATTTTTCAGGTGTCGGCAATTGGTCTTTAATTAGTCCAGTGCACTCACGTCGTCACTGCGAAATCAATTCCTTGTGGGGTGGCCAATTTGGATCTTCATCATCGATCTTACCCTCTTAGTGATGTTTGGGTAACTGATAGGTTTGCAGTGAGCCTCTCCTATGCCCACGATCATTGTTTACCCACTTGCTCATCCCGTTTGCGGCTTCAAAGTTGTGGTGAAACCTAAGAGGTCGAAAACCTGGGAAACGAAGGATTTGGCGGAATGGACTTTGCAGTGTTCTGCCTGACCCATTTTCAAAGGTTTTTCTAGCCATCGAACGGATGGTTCCAGCTTGCTGAGGTTCGCGAAGAGCCGGTACACTTAGGAACCGGTAAAGGTTTTGGCTGAAAGAACTTGATCTGTTTTGTACTGATTGAAGCGTTTGTGACCGAGCTTACAGCTGCTTAAAATCGCAGTGAGTGCGCGCGCAAAAATTGAGAGTTGTCGTGGAGATATGGTAAAATGCGGACGGTAAGTTACCTTGTTACCAAGTTTACAGCTTGACCCCAATGTTATGAATAAAAAGAGCCGGGATTTGGGACCTTGGATGAGACAGCAACCCGAAGGTATGGCCGCGTTCTTATATGACGAGTTTGAAGAAGTAACGAAACTGCAGGTAGAGGAGAATATACGTATCGATCTGAAGAACAGCGGAATTAGGGGAGACGCAGAATCTGCAGAAGAAAGAAGGTATAGGTATCGATAATAAGAAATGACGAAAATGCCGATAAAAGGAATATATTATCGGCTTGAAAAGCCGCGGAATTGGGAGAAATGCAAAACCTGCAGTAATGCCGAATCGCGCAGAATCGGCATTTCTTCCACTGGCGGGACTAAACGATCAACCCCTATCACGCCTTCGTCCGTCATTCAAGCATCTCTACAAATTTCGCTTTTCTGCGTTTCTCCCTAGGTTATAAAGTCAATACAGATGCAATCTTCTATCAGAAGTGACGTCATTTCTTCAGCTTTGTCGTTTTTGAATGCGGCCACTGTGTCAGTCTATATGGTCCAGTGTCAGCTCACAAGGGAAGGATGGTAGGTCGAAGTGGCCATTTGAAATGAAATGTATACCGGCTGAAAGGTCTTCGGACGGGAATTACGAAACCGTCTTCCATATCTGCTGCGGACCTCCCAGAAAGAAGTTACGGAGCTTTTAGGGGGGAGATCACTACAAATTGGCGGCGTAAGGCTGACGAGATCGTGGCAGCATGGCCGAGTGGATACGTCGTAGGGCTCACGGATGGCGGTCGAGGGTTTGATCCTTGATGCGTGTGCTCTTTTGCATTTTTTCGAAAGTGGTCCCTGTGCACTTCAAAGCTATTTTGCATAACACTTGTCCTGATAATGTCGTGACGTAATGATTCTGAACTGATGGAGCCATTGCGAACGATTTCATGGAGATCACCTCCGGCTGAAAAGATTGTCATACGAGCCGAAAACTTCCAGCAGATACGAAAACACTTTGAGATAGACATAATTCAACATTATGTGAGTGGTGAATGAAGCTCTTGCCCATCGCGATCTCCAGCAGCATGATTGTCACATCAACGCCACTTCAGGAAGCATATTCCCTCTCGTGCACAACTTCGTGCGTTCGGATTCGTTTTCCAGTCATGTCGTTTGGAGAATAAAGTCATTTGAAGGCAAAATCTTCCTTTGGAGTGCACTTTTGTTGTATATGCTTTTCAAATCAAAGAAAGAAGACAACAGAGTGATCTCTATGGAATGGTTCGCAATGGCTCCATCAGTTCAGAATCATTACATCACGACATTATCATGGACAAGTGTTATGCAAAATAGCTTTGAAGTGCACAGGGACCACTTTCGAAAAAATGCAAAAGAGCACACGCATCAAGGACCCTCGACCACGCATCCGTGAGCCCTACGACGTATCCACTCGGCCATGCTGCCACGATCTCGTCAGCCTTACGCCGCCAATTTGTAGTGTATTCTCCCCCAAAAAAGCTCCGTAACTTCTTTCTGGGAGGTCCGCAGCAGATATGGAAGACGGTTTCGTAATTCCCGTCCGAAGACCTTTCAGCCGGTATACATTTCATTTCAAATGGCCACTTCGACCTACCATCCTTCCCTTGTTAGTAGCGCTCCGCCAATAGCTCAGGCTGAACAGGATTGTATGACAGTCGTGAATAGATATGCATTGATTTTCCACTCCGCCCGCTGCTTCAGAAAAATCTGCCGTGGTTCAATCAGTTCCCATTCATTCCCTTTCGCCGATTCCCGTATTGTCCATCTCGGCATTAGACATACGCGGAGCCGAACAGGGTGTCTGGAGCAGGTAGCTAATCGATCGAGGTAATTAACTGGCGCCCATCGCAGCCACCTTCTCCACGCGCTCAACTAAGTTTACCGTAGCAGGAAAATAGGGCAGGTATTTCGTTCGATTCTCCTGCATGAATTCGGATGGTGCGTCGGCCACTTCTTGAGGGTCATTCAGACTGCACTTTACACACGTTTGTTGCATGACTTAGTTTCAACAGTTAGATGCCAAAGTGAGGATTTAATGGAGGGGGGAGGAGCGGGGTGCCCTTGCTCCCTTCTCACCGAGATGGTCTGAATTTACCTCTCTCATAAGGTGGTATTCTAGTAAAATGAGGCGCTGAAAAGTGCGAAGAAGCAGTTGTAAACCAGTGGACGAGTATTAAACTCCGTTCGCCTTTCTTGTAACCTGGGCATTTCTGTACTTAAAGAATTGGTACCTTTTTTATGCTAAACAGGTTTGTATGGTGGAATACTTTATTTACGCCTGACGTTTCGACAATCTCGTCGTTTTCAAAGGCCTGAAAGCATACCGAAACTCGTTGTCTATCTATCCTATTCAACATGGGCCCGCCCTTAACTAGTTGCAACCCAGACCAAGGAACTACAGACGAAAAGGAAATTCCAGCAGTAAGTTACCTCGTCAGTGGATGAGCATTTGGCCTATACTTAGGAGGGAAGGATTTTTGGGGTAAGTGTGTAAGTGGACCCCTCTGCGTCCTTCTGTGCTAGAGTGGTACTTCAGAGAGCTTGATGTGTTGATGAAATCTATGCACTATTTTCATTCAGGAAATGTTTGACGTCGACGAACTTCTTGGGCCGAGCGATGGCAACAAAGACGAGGCTACAGAACTTCTCGACACAGGCGGAACGCTATCAGAATGCGCTGCTGAAGTAAGTTAACATGCGCAGAGAAGGCGCCGTCACAAAAGCAAGCCTGCACCCGCCAGTGGACTCGCTGGCTACAATGGGA